GTCTCGAACTCCTGGGCTCAAGTGATCTTCCCACCTCAGCCTCCTGAGTAGCTGGGATTACAGGCATGGGCCACCATGCCCAGCTTGCTTTTTAGTTTAATATGTTTCCATTTCTGACCCTATCTTTATTGACTGATTGTATTGGTAGTTCTCAAGCACATAGGCTTCTTTCTAATCATATTTGAACTCATTTCCCTAAATAATATTTCTTTCTTATTCCTATGTATACTTTTCAAAATGTCAATAATGAGATGCTCTTTCTGGTAGCAACCTATAATTCTTTCAAATTTGTTTCACATATTATCTTCTCTATAATACATAGATAGATAGATGTGTGTGTATATGTATGCAATGTGTGTATATGTAATATGTATGTATATGTGTCCCTGCATGTGTGTAACCTGTAAGCTTATTTCTGGAGTATATGGGAATGTAGAAATCAATAAACATGATATATATATATATATATATCTATCTCAGCATGACTATTTGATCAAAAACTAATGTATCTTTGTTAAGCAGTGTGGTGGGCATGGAAATGTACCACACAGATTCCCATTCAAAGAGGGACCTGCCTCTAAGAGTGTGGTTAGGGGGTACCCTTCAGCTGTCAGCATCTTCATGGGTTGCCTCAGCTGTAGAGAACTTTCTCTTCCAAATACACATCTGTCCAGGAACCACCCACATCCAGTGACTGATCAAGTTGGATGCAGAAAGGGCTGGACATTTCTGTCCAATGCAGGGCAACTCTAACATAATCTTTCAACTCTAGAATTTTTTGTGGGGTCCATTGTGGTCGTTGGACCTCCATTATGGCTGACTTCTCCTTCTGCCCAATCCTGTCTCTCCCTTTGTCTTCCAAAAGTATTGATCCCCAAAGCACTCCCAATAACCATTCTAAACACTAAACTCCTCTCCAGAGTCTATTTCCCAGGGAACTCAAACTGCAATAAGTAGTTTGTTTATATTTTTATTATAGCTCTTATCTCTTTGTTTTTTGTTTATATATGTATCTGATTTTTTCTTGAACCATGGCTAGCTTGAGGGCAAGGACCATCTTTGTATTACAGTATCTAACGCAGCAATGGCATTTTAGGCCTCAGAGGGAGATATATACATATATCTATATCTGTATATACATACTAGTTAACTGAACAATTTACAAAATGTAAAAATCCTTCAATTTAGTGTTTTAAAGATTTTATTTTAAATGTTTTCCAGCTTTCAGATGAAATGGAGACAGAGAAGAATATAGAGGTATTTAAATTTTCTTTTCTGCCAGATTATATATCAAAAGTATTATGTGGGGCTTAAAGAAAGTTTATGATGCTATAAATATATCCATAAATATAGATAAGGGCACCAGAGGAGAGAGTTGGGAACAGGTATGGAAGCTTTCTCTTCCCACCTAGTCCATATTTCTTTATGTGTAGTCTAGCTAAAATTCTTGACCATTTGAATTTACGTCAAAATTCATATGATTTTGTTTTGGATTTCACATATATATGTGTCAGGGCTCTTATAATGAAAATTTTTCAT